GGTCTGCAAGACCCGCCGCAGAAGAACCCAAAAACTCTCTGATCACACTCTTAATCTCATGGCTGTTATACGGGAGATGAAGCTACATTCTTCAACAGACTTGACAGCATACAGGCATCTGACAAGACAGATCCAAATGCATGCGGCGGGACTTACGTAACTTCAATACATCTCGAATTGAAGAAGAGGTCGAGCGGAACCAAGGCTCCAAAGTCTTTGCCAGAGATCTGTCTGCCAGAAAGAGCCAACTGTCAAAGCTGAAGACAGAATGTGGCAGCATCGTTTCCGGGACACCTGAGATTTTGGGTGAGATTGAGAGATTCTGTGGGCAGCTGTACACGTCATCGTTGGAGCCACACGCAAGTGTGAGTAACAATCCAAGAGCGAGTCTCATCCGACACTATTCCGAAGATATCCCGGACGTCAGTCTGAGCGAGATTAGAATGGCTCCCTAGCACCTTAAAAACTGTAAGGCCCCACGCGAGGACGGAATTACAGCGGAGCTTCTGAATGCGGGTGGAAGACCGGTACTTGAAGTCCTTCAGAAGCTCTTTAATTCCGTCCTCCATGGTGGCATTACACCGGAGGCGTGGAGCAGAAGTGCGGTGGTCTTGTTCTTCAAGAATGGTGACAACGCTCTCTTGAAGAACTACAGACCGATTTCCCTTCTAAACCGCGTCTACGTGCTGTTTTCGAGAGTCATTACGAATCGTCTCGCACGCAGACTTGACGACTTCCAGCCTCCCGAACAAGCCGGTATCCGAAAGGGCTTTAGCACCATAGACCACATACATACCCTTCAGCAAATTGTACAGAAGTCCGAAGAGTACAATTTGCCACTATGCCACTATGTGTGGACTATGAGAAAGCCTTTGATTCCGTCGAAATTTGGGCGGTGCTGCAGTTCATTCAGCGGTGCCAAGTTGACTGTCGGTATATCGAAGTGTTGAAGTGTTTGTACAGTAGAGCTACGATGGCTATCCGAGTACAGAACCAGAGTACGAAACCTATCCAATTGCAGAGAGGTGTAAGACAGGGTGACGTCATATCCCCGAAACTCTTCACCGCTGCATTGGAAGACATTTTCAATTTTCTGGACTGGAAAGGATACGGTATCAACATCAATGGCGAGTACATCACTCACTTTCGATTTTCCGACGATATAGTCCTTATGGCAGAATCGCTGGAGGACCTAAGCACTATGCTCAATGACCTCAAAAGTGTCTCCCAACGGATAGGTCTTAAGATGAACATGGACAAAACAAAGATTATGTTTAATGTCCATGTCACACCTATGCCGGTAGTTGTTGGGAGCACTAAGCTCGAAGTTGTTGACGAGTATGTTTACTGGGACAAATAGTCCGACTAGGTAAGTCGAACTTCGACCGAGAGGTCAATCGACGGATTTAACTCGGCTGGGCAGCGTTCGGGAAGCTACGACACATTTTCTCGTTAGACATACCTCTAAACCTTAAAACGAAATTGTACAACCAGTGCGTGTTGCCAGTGATGACTTACGGAACTGAGACGTGGTCCTTCACAGCTGGCCGCATGAGGAAGCTCAAGGTCGTTCAACGAGCTATGGAGAGGGCTATGCTCGGAGTTTCTCTGCGTGATAAACTTAGAAATGAGGATATCCGTAGTAGAACTAGAGTAACCGATATAGCCCAACGGATTAGTAAGCAGAAGTGGCAGTGGGCCGGACATATAGCTCGAAGAACCGACAACCGATGGGGAAGAAAGGTTCTCGAGTGGCAGCCTCGTACCGGTAGGCGAAGTGTAGGGTGACCCCTCACGAGATGGAGTGACGACCTGGTAAGGCATGCAGGAAGTCGATGGATGCAGGTGGCTCAGGACCGTGCTTTGTGGCATTCCTTGGGGGAGGCCTATGTTCAGCAGTGGACTTATGAAAGGCTGTAATTGTGACGCCTCATAATTATTATTAATAAATAATAAATAATTCATTATACAGACATTTAAAAATGTCATATAAATTATAATTTAAACAATAAAATGCAAATAATAAGCATAGAGTTCAAAAATATCCATTTGGAATATTGAATATTATAGATATTAGTAAATGCATAAAATGTCTCTAAAAATCTCTAAATATATTAAAAACCTGCTTAAAATGTTAAAAATGTATCAAATCATATAAATACGAGGCGATTATATTGCAATAACAAAGATAACGCACTGTCAAGGGGCCAAGTCCTCTTTTACTGGTTCGCCAGTTATTTTGCTGTGGACTACGGTCCAGTTCCCAATTTTGCGTACCCTTCGGGGGGAGCGCATTAAAATGGTTGGCGCTCACCGTGCGCGACGTGTGTGGGGCCGTGTACCTCCTCCACATTTTTTTTAAAATGTGGGAGAGCGAAGCCCTTGTAACTGGTATTTGATATAAATATTGTGAGCCTTTTCCAAGCGGGAAGGGATTAATTAATAAGGAATTGACTGTTGTGAACCAGATACAAGTGGAATAGGGACAATTTATTGTTCTTAACCTTTTTGAGCTCTGTCTTCGTGAACGGGGTTCTTTAGCTTATATGACTCTACCAACAGCTTTCGATTGCTCTCGTGAATATTCATTCTTCCAAGATACACCTAAAAGTTACTATACAAACACAACGTATAAAAGGGTCGTAACTAAGACGATCACGCCATAAATTTATTAAACGGCCTATATGTAAACCTCTAGAAAGATCAAGTTATACTGGTCACGTAAATTAGATATATTTATACATCTTACGGATACAGATTCTAAAGAAATACAAGTATAAGTGGATATATAGTAGAAAAGAAAAATGGGGGGGAGGGTTCGTTACAATTTGGTACCGTGACCAGGATAGAGGTTAAATTTTAAATAGGAGGCCGGTAATATAAAATTATGAGGTAGGCTATATGCCTACAATTTGTTGTCCGTGAAATGGAGAGGTGTCTTGGAGAGTGGTGTTTGCTGGGGGTGGTTGAGAGTCTGGGGGTGGGGCTTAAATATTAAAATTGAGTAATAATATAGGAGGTGTGTGCATAACGGAGCGAAATAATAAAAAGTAAAATAAGTGGAAAAACTCAATTAAAGTAAGTGAAGGACACAAAAAGTGTAAAAAAAAAATACAGTGGAAATAAAAATTAAAAATGGCTAAAAATAAGAAAAAAATCAACCTCAATTAAGGCTAAGACTAAAGATGAGATGAAAATGCTTCAGAAATTAATTAAGAATGCAGTGAAAACCTTTGAGTTTAAAATAAAGGATCTTGAGGAAAAATTTATTAACCAAACGAAAGGTCACCAAATTAAAATAAATCAAGGAGAGGTGTCCGGGGCGTGCACCTCTCATGTCAATGATCCTAGACAAAATATTGTATATAATGTACATAATGTAACAATAGAAAAGCCGAAATTTGGAAATGGATATACTCATCCAGTATCATTTTTGGAAGATCTCACCAATTATTTAAAGAAAGTTCCATCTAATGGTCTTGAAATTTCGATAGCACAAGAGTGCTTAGTAGGTGAAGCCAAGTATTGGGCTCGCATTAATAATGTGCGTTGGACAACTTTTGATGATTTTAAAGCTGACATCCTAAGAGTGTTTTGGGGTGAAGAAGAACAAAATAAAGTAAAGAGATTCCTTGTGCAAAATAAATGGAATAAAAGTACACACCACACCATGGTTAGTTATTTTTTTTATGTGGTTGAGAAGGCACAAACATTATCATATCCGATACCTGAAAAACAATTAGTAACTGATGTCATCAGACATTATCCTAAAACTGTGCAGCAATTATGGAGAATAGCTAAAATTGAGACAATAATAGACACGACAGATTTCTTAAAAAACTTAGATGACATCGACAAACAAGATGAAGGTCGTGAACCTTACTATAATGAGAAAAGAAGGAAGTTTAATAATAATACGGAGCAAAAACATAAAGAAATACAACAATCATACAAAACATGGCGTAAACCCGAAGAGGGAATAAAGAAGTTTAATAAAGTACATGAAATACATTTCACTAATGACCAACCTGATGTTACGGCCCCTGAGCCAAATTTAGAGCTGTAGAGGTCGAACTAGTTCCCAATTCAACCCCTTACAATGTAAAAGGGAACAAAACATTAAATATGTTATTAAAACTGGGTTGGCGACCTGGTCAAACATTGGGTAAAAACAATAGAAGGTTGCGAAAACCTATTACTTTAAAAGCAAATTTTAACAGAGAAGGCCTTGGTTATAACGACAATGTAAATAGCATATTAAACACCTTAAAAGCCAGGTCGGACTTGCCCCTAACGGAGTTATTCGTGCAAACCGTCTTCGAGGAAGACGAAGATAAATATCAAAGGGAATTTATAGGGAATATGAGATCTGAAATTAAAGTTTCAATATTTGACAAAGAAATAGACGCGCTCCTCGACACTGGGAGCGATGTTACATGCTTTTCAGAAAGTTTATATTTACAAATTAAAGATAATAATCGTAAAATATCAATAATGCCAGTTAAAGCAATGCAAATAAAAGGTGCTGTTGGGCAGCGCAGCACAAAAATACAACAGATGATCATATTGCCTATAAAGATAGATGAAGTAGTCTTTGAAACATAAACTTTAATTGTAGGTAATTTAATAAGACCTTTAATATTAGGTTTTGACTGGCTCAAGAGAAATAAAATATTGATTGATTTGAGAAATACTACTGTTGGAATAAAATTTAAAGTGAAAAACAAAGACTACTTTATACCTTTCAAATATAATAATAAATCTGTATTACATAATAACTGCATCAAGCAATGTACCGATGATCCCTTAATAGATATAAAAATAGGATCTACATTGGAGGTCTATGAAAGGGCAAAACTTAGTAAGGTCTTGGAAAAGCATAAGAATATGTTTTCGAGCAAATTGGGAAGAGCCAATTGCTATGAGCATAAAATTGAAATTGTCGATGATGAACCTATAGTTACTAGGTCCTATCCCATTCCATATGCATATAGATCGAAATGGAAGAAAAGTTAAATGAAATGGAACAAGCTGGTATCATCACAAGGACGTCAACGCCTTACAGTAGTCCATTGACATTCACTCTTAAAAAAGACGGCTCAATTAGAGTTCTGCTTGATGCCAGAAGCATAAATAAGAAAATGGTTGCAGAAACAGAGAAACCATCTATACAATTAGATGTTTTGAATTCATTTCACGGAGCGAACTATATCACTACCATTGACTTAAATAATGCATATTTTCAAATTCCGATAAATAAAGATGGTAGAAAATATACTGGATTCACATTCAATGGAAAGTCATATGTATATAATGTTTTGCCGCAAGGATTAAAAACATCAGTTGGAAGCTTTAGCAGAGCCATGAATTTAATATTAGGACCAGAAGTCCAAGAATTTTGTGTGAACTATTTAGATGATCTAGCCATTATTACAACAGGAACGTAAGATAAACATTTGGAGCACATTGATATTGTTTTAAGTAAATTGAACAAAGCTGGCTTAACGTGTAACTTGCAGAAATGTGAATTTATTTGGGGGTGGATTGTGACGCCTCATAATTATTATTAATAAATAATAATTAAATTCATTATACAGACATTTAAAAATGTCATAGAAATTATAATTTAAACAATAAAATGCAAATAATAAGCATAGAGTTCAAAAATATCCATTTGGAATATTGAATATTATATATATTAGTAAACGCATAAAATGTCTCTAAAAATCTCTAAATTTATTTAAAACCTGCTTAAAATGTTAAAAAAATACGTCGGCTATCTTTCGGATTAGGGTGAGTGTGTTTGGTAGTACTTTTAAGTGCAGCAAGCATACTCAACTTCATGTCTTAGTGCAATAGCGCTATGATACGTGGAGTTTTGACTACTGACGTCTTAGTACCGTACTACTATGATACGTTGGTGGTATTTTTAGTTAACAACATTATCAAATTTTGTTACCAAAGACGATAGGGATCATGTGGGTGTGTTGTGAGGGGGCGCCATCCGTATGATAGTTGCATTGATGCTTACTGCTACTTGCAGTATTGTGTCTTGTGATGGATCTGCGGGTGTGCTGCACCTGATTCGATGCATCTTGTGGTTCTGGTCGATGGAGGTATGCGGGTGGTGATGTCTGCTGGGACTGTATGGGGGACCTTGGGATGGTGTAAGCCCGACGATAGTCGTATTGATGCTTGTTGCATTCTGTAGCATTGCGTCTCTACGATGGTTGTTTGGCGGGTCGCTATTCTCAATGGCGCTCTCTGCGTCTTGGTTTGACTCACAACCTAAGTAGCTTTGCCCAAGTCGGGTCCCTTCATTGCGGGGCTGCAGACTATCTGCCCTCCATGATGTTTTATATAACAACTTAATAATATATCTCTATAAAGTTCCCACCTTTGAGAGATTGAAGGCAACTTGTTGGTGGGTGAGACAAACATGATCGAAAAATGCATATACTCAACGCCAGTGACACAAACCCTTTCTGAAGGCGAATTATTAATATTATCTTATAACTGCCTATTGGCTATATCTGCCATTGTATTGGCTGGTGGAGCATATGTGTCGACCTCATGCGGGTGGTAGCTGGAGGGAGAATCTGAGGAGGCTCTCAAGGCTGCGGCCGAAAGCCGCACAACGTGGGACCCCATTCCCTTGAGGTGAGCGGTAGACTCATGACACGCTCTGCGGCCAATTGGCCGTGCTGACCATGCAATAGGTGGTGATGCCTTACACTTACATCACGTCCGCAGGAACGGCGGTCTGGCAGGTGGTGGCGCTCACGGAAGGCTTTTTATGGTCAGTGTGCCAATTGTTGCCTAACCCGTGTGACGTACATTTCACTGTGGCTGGATTTGATCGTATTCTGTATGGCGTTTACACGCATTGACATGCGCGACTTCGGTCGATGTTTGTGCTTACGCACTGTCAAGGGGCCAAGTCCTCTTTTACTGGTTCGCCAGTTATTTTGCTGTGGACTACGGTCCAGTTCCCAATTTTGCGTACCCTTCGGGGGGAGCGCATTAAAATGGTTGGCGCTCACCGTGCGCGGCGTGTGTTGGGCCGTGTACCTCCTCCACATTTTTTTTTAAATGTGGGAGAGCGAAGCCCTTGTAACTGATATTTGATATAAATATTGTGAGCCTTTTCCAAGCGGGAAGGGATTAATTAATAAGGAATTGACTGTTGTGTTCTTAACCTTTTTGAGCTCTGTCTTCGTGAACGGGGTTCTTTAGCTTATAAGACTCTACCAACAGCTTTCGATTGCTCTCGTGAATATTCATTCTTCCAAGATACACCTAAAAGAACTAAGTTACTATACAAACACAACGTAAAAAAGGGTTCTAACTAAGACGATCACGCCATAAATTTATTAAACGGCCTATATTTAATATAATATTTAATATACCTTTAGAAAGATCAAGTTATACTGGACACGTTAATTAGATATATTTATACATCTTACGGATATAGATTCTAAAGAAATACAAGTATAAGTGGATATATAGTAGAAAAGAAAAAAGATGGGGGTGGGGGGTTCGTTACATAATGATGATGAATGATGATCACGGGGAGTGCTCTGAGGAATTGTTCGGACTAATTCCAGCCGCTCAATTTCACCATGGCACATCGCGACAAAACTCGCGTTACCATCCATATCATCTGGATGATTGGGGGTTCACCACTGTGCGATTTAGAAGAAGTTTTCTCCCTCGCACAACTTCCTTGTGGAATCAATTACCACCAGCGAATTTTCCGGACCGATACGACTTAGGAACCTTCAAGAAAAGAGCTTACACCTTTCTAAAAGGCCGGCAACGCATCTGCAATTCCCCTGGTGTTGCGGTTGTTCATGGGCGGCGGTAGTCACTTACCATCAGGTCAGCCGCATGCTCGTTTGCCCCCTCTTCTATAAAAAAGCGCCTAAAATTAAGATTCAAACATTTTGTCGCATGAAATCGTATCTAACAATCATATTGTACATATTATAAATTATATAAAAAGCACATTGTTCGAAAGATAAATGATTGTTGAAGTTATTTTTTTTTTCAAATCGATTAATTGCTATTATACATAAAAATTAGTTTTAGTGGTTTATGGTGTGAATTTATCTAGTCCGCATGGTGGAGTAAACACTATAACTTTTGATATATTAATTGTTGCAATCAATCTATTTTTTAAACTCTTTATCTATCATGTGGTTAGCCATGGAATGTAAATGGTAGTTTTATTTTGTTTTATTTAGTTATAATAATTTTTTTCGCCTGAGAAATGCCAACATTTTCGGTGTTTTGTCTCACTCAGAGCCACAGAGTATTTTATAGTCCGGGCCAGCCGCCGTCGTGAGTGTCGTTTATTTACAGAGGATCGTGCTGAAAAAAATATCGATTTTTTTATAAAATAGGGGGCAAACGAGCCTGCGGCACACCTAATGGTAAGTGACTACCGCCGCACATAAACAACTGCAACACCAGGGGAATCGCAGATGCGTTGTCGGCCTAAGATCGCTGTAGAAATACAAAATATTGCAAAACCAAATTTCATACTTACTTGACTAAGGTAAGATATTATTACTATTTTTATAATCTTAAATTTTATTACAATATTTTTACCGCTAAGTATGGCTAAGAAGGACTTAAATATATAAACTTATACGTCTTGGACTTCACGGAGACCTGAAAAGTACTTCGATGATTGCTACTGGAACTCCTCGACGAGTAGAACTAGGTGTGCCGTTATATTTGTTATGGTGAGACCTTACCCCTGGACTTGACGGAGTGACTTGAAGGTGTACTTCGGTGAATCCTGCTGGAACTCCTCGAAGTTTAATAATAGTAATAGGTGTGCTGAGTTCGGGCTCGTTTTGTTAATTATGATGAGACCTTACCTCCGTATTAGATAGAGTGACTTGAAAGTGTACTTTGATGACTGCTAGTGGAACTCCACGACGAGGAGAACTAGATGTGCCGAGTGTGGGCTCATTTTCTGCCGACTTCCAAAAAGGAGACGGTACTCAATTCGACTGTATGTTTTTTATGTTTGTTACCTCATAACTTTGAACTGGGTGAACCGATTTCGATGATTATTTTTTATATGAAAGCTGATAGTTCTCGTGTGGTCCCATATAAATTTGATCAAGGTCAGACCAATAGTTTTTGAGTTATTCTTAAATAAATTATATTGAAGTCGGCTGTACAAAATTTTTAATTTTAAATTATGTTAGTTATAATTAGACCTTACCTCAGGACTTGACGAGTGACTTCAATGTGTAATTCAGTGACTGCTACTGGAACTCTTTGACGAACGGAACTACAATTTACATTTTATTTTCAATATCGTATGAGCATAATGAGTCTTGCACTTTTAGATTTTCCAAACTTTTTTTAAATTGAAGTTTGACATAAAATTATCGGAAAATTGGAAGTATAGTAATAAAGTTATAAGTGAAAAGTTGTGTGTATTTAAACTACTTAAAAATATTATTTTGTTTTATTTTTCATGTTACGCATAATTTTTTTAATGCGCTTAAGCATTTTTATCTGTTTCTCCCAGGCTAGACTGCCCAGAGACTGGACCAGAGAATGCAATAACGAATTAAGTCCACCCATTAATCCAAGGATTACCTTAGATTCAATTGTACTTGTAGTCTTATGATCATGATTGGATATTATGCTTTCCAACTTTCTTAACTTAAGTACTATCCCTTCCAGGTAACAACACTTTATTGTAGGTATTCGTTTTAATAATGAAGATGTAATTCTTAAATTTCACAATGGATTCAGTTATAATATTAACTGCTCATTAACTTAGTAGATTTGCCAACCTTACTGCAATGGATTCGGTTATAATATTAACTGCTCATAAACTTAGTAGACTTGCCAACCTTACTGCACGGATTTACGGAAAAATTGCAATGAAATTTTGGAATGAGGCTTAAAAAACTTATGTTCTGTGAGTGGAAGGAGCGGGACTCGCTGTAAAAGTAATCAGTTTTAATCGAAAATAATCAGTTTTAATCGGAAATAAGATTTCACCTTCATATTTTAAATACAAAAGTGTTGTTTGGAAAATGTCAGAAAAATCTTATAATGTCCGATAGATGGCGCTAACACCATCTCAAATGCCGTCTGGCATTAAATATCCAGACCTGCAACGGACATCAGTATGAAAGATGCAAGATGCGTTGGGGTAAGACCGGTGATGAATTAAGACCGTAAGATTCAAATTTCCGGCGAATTTTGCTATATTTTTAAATACTAGCAATAATTGGTGTTCGACGCCATTTCATTGTGCCCCGACCCCAAGTTCCCGTTATTCGCTCCGGGAAGTAGGAAGCGTGTTGCGCGGCAATTTATAAAATAAGATAATTTTTGTGTTTTATTTCTCCATCCGGTCTTTCCCTATCACTTTTTTTTGTGATTTTCAGTGAGAATATAGCTTCTATTA